GGAATACTGATTCTATTCATCCGACGCAAGTGAAAATGAATAGGTGTAACACAATAAACTGGTATCTCGCCAAAGGTACAGTACAATTGTTAACCATTTGTCCTATAACATCCTATCAAACTCGCGACGAAGATTTCAACTAGAATTTCATTCTAATCTAACCTGAATTCAATTATAATCTAAATAATTCGAAAATAATGCTTTCAAGTACAAATTTCTTTATTATTTCTTTATTACTCATTATAATGCTTCAGAGCAAACGTAGACATAGAATAAAATGACCATTTTCTATATTCCTCTAATAAATTATGAACAATAAAACAGTTCCATTGAGCGCAGTTGTAACTGAGATCATAGTGCAAGAGGTTAATACTTCGAAGACCTCGATAAACGAAACTTTCTAAACGATTCGCATTCTTCGATTACTGAAAATAGATCTAGAAATAGATCAACAAATAATGAATAACCTAAAAATTAGATTACCAAAGATACTAGAGAACATGAAAGTGTCGACGGATCAAAAATACCACACGCCTTTCAATTTATAAGACACTTTTACTCCTCTCGACAGTTTCCGTGAACTATGGCGCTGTAATCAGCCCCGTTACAATTGACTCACGCAGAATCGTGATCAGCCCGGGGGGCAAACAAAGAGGCCACGTTAAGGGAAACGAAAATTCTAAGCACGCCGCTGGTGCACCGGTGATCGTGGCATAATTTTCAACTCAATTGTTCGATTTAACCCTTTGCCCTGTAATTTCTTTCATAGCTGCACTCGCTGGTATATCTTTGTCATTAATAATTTATGAAAAAAACAAAAGGAAATTCCGAATTTATGTATATCCTCCTTTACTTCAGAACATAATGATTAATAATAGAAAAATCGTATCTAATTTCAACCTAAAATAATCGAGTGACATTTCATTTCTCGAGGGTCTGACTCGATATTCTATGACAAAAGGTTAATACTATAAATAATAACAAAATTTTACTACTTCTTACAACGTAAGTCAATTTTTCGTTACTATTCGCCAAGATGCATTTGTTACTATTTGCCAATTAATTTTATTAACTTCATGATAGTTTGTTTAACACTGGAACTACCGAATTTGATTAATATGTAATCCTTATAAAAATTATAGTAGCAGACTTTTCTTCAATTTCCTCCTGTATCCGTTGTATTATTCAACTGAAACTATATACTGTTAAAATCACTTCAGACATTTAACCTTTTGCGGTCGAATGTCGCCGTAATGGCGACTTCGAGCTCCTAAACCCGAAAGCTGCAAATGAATGAGGAAATTATTCAACTAACGAGGGTTAGTTACTTAACTCCGAAATTCATTTTGCAAACATTTAAACTGCGAAGGCGTTTTTGCGAAAAAATGTTCAACTAAATTCATTTTCAATTCAATATTGTAAATGTGTAATATAAATATTAAATGCAAAATAATGGAATATATGGAATACAAAGATTCCAGTAAAAACTGGAAATAAGAGACTCTAATTACTCGGTAGTATTAGTGTTAAGACTTCGATCCATAATTCACTTTCTTAAGAAAAGAAATGTTAAAAGTTTAATATCTCTATACACAGGAAAACTCAAATATCATATCGTTATGTAATATATTTTAAATAGATAATCAGTTCGAATCAAATTTAATATTTTTTAACTGCTGTGGTAATTAGCAAAGCTACACAGCTAAGTGTCTTTACATAAAAACGAAATTTCTTGTTACCAGTATGCAATGTGTTAATAGAATATTGTCGGTCGTTAACACTAGAACTATTGTATCAGTCAAAATGACTGGTTTCGATATTTTTCTTTTGCAATAATCGATACCTTAAGAGCATTGAATATTCGAAATGATCTTGAACATAAATGGTTTCCCTTGAATAATATAATAAATATCTGAAGAAACTGAGAATAATCGATTCTTACAATTTTTATAGGGATTACATATTAACCCTTTGAACTCGAAAATTGTTCACTAAAAATATGCAACGTTCCTTAATGAGATATAAGCGATGTTCTTTGAAACCAACAAACAAGAAAACATACCTAAATCAAGAAACAAGGCTATTTCATTTCAATATTCCACATATTGATTCATTATACGAAGCATAATATTCTATATAAGACTATAATTTTGCTACATCAAATCTAGTGGCGACTGAGAGTCACTTCAAGCGCAAAGGGTTAATCGTATTAAATGCTCGATATTTCTAGTGTTAAGGGTTAACTCTATGCGCTCGAAAGGTTTTGACTAGAAATATTCAACATTTTCCGACGACGGAGATAAATTAAGTAACTGATTCGCAGATAAATTGAGCAACAAAGCTATTTTAGTTAAATATTTCACCTAGCAACATAAATTTTAATTTAAAATACTAAATATTCAACTTCATAGTTTTGTTGTATCAAATCAAGTGATGCCTGAGAGTCACATCTCGAGTGCAAAGGGTTAACACCTTCCAAGGTATCAATAATCGCGAAATAAGAAAACCGAGACCCGTCATTTTGACGAGTGCTGTAGTTCCTGGAGTTAAGGCTCCGTGACGAGCCCGATTCCTCCGTCCACTAGTAGTGGGCCACGGATTCCTGTCGCGCCGAAAACAATCATTTCGGCACGGTTCAGCCAGGCAACCGTGTTTTACGTAAGAAAACGCCGGGAACATCTGGAAGTTTGCGCACGTGAAAGTGGACTACCGAGTTACAGGCAACGGTCAGTTAATTCCGCGGCCGCTCGGTTAATATTCTGCAACTGCAGCCGGTTCCCGTGCCGATCACGGAATCGAGCCTCGGCTACGGCCGGGTTTTTACTCGCCGAACTGTCCGCGGGAACGAGTTTTCCCGCGAAATTTCCATCCGCGATTATTCGCGAGGAAGTTACGCGATTGATCCAGTTTCGATCGATCATTTTTCATCCACCGTCGGAATCGTTGAAATGTTTGGGACGCTTTCGACGTATAATCAACGCGGTCATTGGAAATGTTATTCGGAAATACTCGTTGCGAATAAGTCACCGCGTATGTCGTTAACGCTAAAACTGCCGTGCTTAGAACGACTTATTCCGAATTATTTATACAAATTAGAATAATACGTTTCTTGAGGTTCGAAGGGTACTCTAGTCTTGTATCTGTACAAGTATACAAATTTAACTGAGAATCTTTCGCAGAAACACCTTCATAATTTAAATACTTGCGAAATAATCATTCTGAAGTGGGTCGATTTGAGTTCTCCGGTAGTTTTAGTATTAAACTATATATTTTATTGTATAGGTATTGGCGAGCTTTCTCGCGTTACCATCTATTGGGTAATTGTTAATAATAAATGCGAATATTCAGGGATAAACTGCTTAATTGATCTCTAACGCTTACGTTTTTAAAGAAATATTAGTACAGAGATAAATTTTGTATTGCAATGCTGTTTGAAATTGATTCATCACTTATTTGATGAACAACGACTGATTTTTTATTACAAAAACTAGCAGATAGACGAGATTTAGTGAACTTAAAGCTAATTTGTGTGAGTATAAAAAAATAAGAAAGTGATAAAATGATGAAAATAAAAATGATAGAGTTATTTCTTAATTTTACCTGAAAATTGTGAATATACCAATACTTCTATAAATTAACGCTAATATTATTCTTTTATATTGTTATTACAAAATAACTTAATATAGTATAATACTAATTTTAATTGTTCTCGATTACCTACAAAGACTACGTATTAATTTTCAGAAAAATTAAATAATGTTCTCAGTAATACATTCGTTCCCCGTTGCCACATTGAGCTAAACGTACAGCTAAACCGTTAGCCGACAGTGTTCGCGAGAATATCGACTGCTCTCCTCGAACTAATTTCAATTAACAGAAAGCTGTATAGAAGCTCTCGATAAACGTCTCACCGTTTAAAGAGGTAAGAGCACATTCTATTAATACAGCGATTTACACAAAGAGCAGATTGAACAAAGCCTGATATTTCAACAGATTCATAGTGTCGTATATCCATCGCACAATATTGTTAACCCTAGATAACTAAACATTCGTCCAAACATTCTACCAACTTTCGTCACTTTCGCAAATTCAAACACGAAAGCATTTCTTTAACATCTTTAAATACTGCAACGTCAATTTCAAACTCTTTTCTATTTTCTAATTAGAATCTACTAATATATTTCTTAAATTGTGCGACTTTGTTCGAAATAAATAGAAACATAAAAATACATAAGTCTTTAAGTAGTCTATGAATCGAATATTTAACTACAAAGTAACACTAATTTAAGTTTAGTCATCTAAGATTAACCCCTTGCCCTAATACCGTGTTAGACTAATGGTGGAAATTTTCAACTAAGTTTAACAAATTTAATTACATCCTTAAATATATATTAAACATTTCTTTTCTATAATCAATCGTTAACATTCAAAGTAAATGTAGCGATTAGAAGTACCAAATTCTTCTTTCTCCTAATACAGTATTAACATGAAAATATCTCCATCAATCACAATTGGCAAAGAAATATGGCAAGCGGTTAACGCTAAAACTACCGAGCAATTAAATTGACTATTTAAAATTCCTCTATAGAAACTTGAAGAATGCATCTATCAGGACTTTAACCGATTTAAAATTCACTTCGCGTGTCGCTAGATCAATTCCTCTAATCATTTCCCAAAGAAACATCTGTTACCATTTTAATAAATTGCGAGATGAAGAAATCAAGAATAGATCATTTCGACCCGTCCAGTGGTTTTAGTGTTAAGGACTCTATGACCAACCTCGAGATTCCTTCTCACGATTATCAGAATAAAAAACCGAACCCCAATAGCCAACGGATAAAAAAAAATAGAACAATCTCGAGGTACGTTTCTCGCCACTTTTCCAGTTCTAGGCGCAACCTTGCAGCCTACAGATTTCAATAGCCGACCGTGGGTTTTCCCATCGTAAAACAAAAGGAAACCACAAGTGAACGACTCATCCGCACTTGAACCGCACTCACCTTGCGAGCTTCTTAGGCGAGCCTTATCCAATGTATCATTTCAGTTCACCGGGGCGCACGGATCCTTCCTGGACGGTTTGTGGTACCGTTGTCGCGCACAGATTCAAATCACTGGTGATCACGGTGCGTCCGGAGGATCAAGCAAATTGAAACTTTCGAATGTTCCCCGACAGTTTTCTCTGTTTTCTCTGTTCCCTTGGATATAATCTGGCTCCTGGAAATTACACACTGACGTCGACCGGAACACGGAAACGGTTATCAATCTTCGAAGAGTTTCCGGCAAACTGTAACTCGCGGCGAAACAGAGATTAGGTGAGACGAACGCGGACGACACGCATCTTCGCGATGTTACCTCGATTTTACCGGAGCGCGGATTCGGACCCTAGCCAGCGGAATGCTCAGAGACAAATGGAAGTCGATCGAACCGACGGCCGTGTCAAAAAACCTGGGTGTAAATGGGGGAGAAAAAAAAGTGTTCGCCCGACCATTTTCCCTTTCGCTCGAGTCTACGGCTCGCCACCACCACCGGCGTTGCTCTCTGCGTGGTACACGGTTGCCCCTACCCCGACAGGTACACCTCGAAAGCCTCCCCTCCAACGGCGGGCCGCCTCGTTCCTCTTACTGACTGATAGCTACTTTGATATGCGTGACTTCCTGCGATCCGAGAATACGTATACGGATATACGGCGAGCGAAACCGAGACGATCACGACAGTTTTCTGGGATAGTATCGTTTTAACCAGTTAGCTGCTTTTTCAGGAGTTCACACGTCATCTTGAAGCTTGAGGTGATAGTAATTCTTCCAGGGGTGAATTATTTATTTTTCACGCAAACGTGTAATTGTTCAACTTTTATATCTGAAATATACAGTTATTGATATATGATTTAATTAGTCAAATAATCGTCGTACTCGAGGAGTTAATTCCTTGTGGTCTTAACTAGTTAACTGTGTTAAAACATCTTGAAGCTTGAATTGATAGTAATTCTTTCAACGATGAAATATTTATTCTTTCAGATAAACTTGTAATTCTTCTTTGTGTTGCTGTGGTTTTTCACTAACACTGGGTGTACGGAACGTGTCAATTTGACGTACATTAAATTTTACAAACATCGTCTATTAAATGTTTATGTCAGTTTTGATTGATGAAACCAATCGAATGTGTATTTTGATTGTCTAATCTTCAAACTTTTAATTTCCAGAATCTACAGAAATGAATATCGAATTGTCTAGGATCAATAAAATAAATTATACAATATATGTCCGTAAGCCTAGTGTTAAAGGATACCCTAGGTGCATTTGTTCTGCGTTTGACGAATGCACACTTCATTTTTTTGTTTTATTGCACGCAAAACGAAAGATTTTTCAAACTAAATTTTACAGTTAATAGGTTAACTAAATAGTTAGCTGCTTTTTGAGGAGTCATGGAAGAATAGCGAGATTTATGTGTTGTGACGAATATACTCGTTTGGAAATAGCTAATTGTTTAAGAGAATATTAATTTTCAAAAGAATTTCATAGGTAAACGTTATTTGAATGAACAATTTTGAAAATATTGTTTGTAGATGTGAATACCTATACGTACTAGAATGAGGTAAACACTTTTCAAAGAGGTTGCGACAGCTAACAGGTTAATTGGTCTCGTGGGAAACTTGGGACAGTGGAAATCGATATTGACTATTGAAACCGTTACATCTAAAACAACGTTAGTCAACTAATCAATATTTCGAAAAAATCAATCTTTCTTTTCATCTTCAATTATTCATTCGTGGATAACTTGGAATGATGAAAATCAATATTAGCAATTGGATTTTAAAACAGCACTAATCAATTAATGAACATTTTGAGAAAATCAGTCTTTCTTTTCATCTTCGTTCATTCATTCGTGGGAAACTTGTAATGATGGAAACCAATATTGACAATTGAAGTTGTGAATTTGAAAACAGCACAAGTCAACCAATCAACATTTGAAGAAAATCTTTCTTTTTATTTTTGTTCATTGATTTATTATCTATTATATTGATTCTTGCTGCAAGCATTAGCTACACATACACCTTCGTTAATTGTACATTGTTAATATTACTAAATAGGTCTGAATAAGCTAAAAATAATTACATCAATAACTTATATGGATAACGTTGAATAGCAGACCTGTGCTGTTTTGAAATTCACGACTTCAATTCTATTCTCGATGTGAGTCTATAGCTGTTACTCGATTTGTGGGAACGTCAAATGAAAAAAAATTGTAATTAGGTCGATATTGTCTATATGTTTGATCAAACAGAATTGTCACTTTACCTCGAATCAAGTTTTTTTTTAAGGTAAAGTAGTTCAAATGTATGCGGCAAATCACTCGACCGTTCCACAATTACGCAGAAAAAAATGGGAACACGTAACCTACAGTGGGAAGATGATCACTAACGTGTCAAGATGAACAGGGAATTATTCACTGCATTACAAGTGAGGCAATATCGCAAACATAGTTTCTGAATTATTAACGTGCAACATGAATATTGAGGTTAACTAGTGCCCCGAAGAAAAACTACTTAAGAAAGTTCATTTGAAGTAATAAGGTTAACGTAATATAAAATATAATTAACATAATATGAAATATCCTCATAATAACATTTATCAAATAAATGTTTATCATAATATAAAATATTATATTGGATATAATACAAATATATTTTCAGTAGAAGCTTCAGTAATTGGTTCAGTTTAATTTTTTATTGTACCTATGATCGCAAAATAAAAAACATAAATCAGATTTCAAACAACTATTGTCTTAAAGAATTTTTTTATATTATTAAGAGAACTATTTCTTTTCAAAATGAATATATAAGAACATAGGAGTATAATACATTGAAAGCTGAAACTTATGGTTGCTGAATACTGGAACTACCGAGCGTTTAAAATGATTAATATGTAATCCTTATAAAAATTGTAAGAATAGATTTGTTTCAGTAGAAAATCATTCTAGATATTTAATATTTTCAATAAATCAATGATTATCATACAATGAGATATCACTTCGTTATGATATTCAAGTGAAACTATTTATTTACAAAATGTATAAAGGTAATCACATTGACACTAAAACTATCAGGTGGGTCAGAATAATACACTCCTGATTTCTTCATTTTGCAATTATTAAAAATACAACAAACCTTTCCCTGAGAAATTATTAAAGAATTCGATTTAACAATACGCAAATTGAATTGTAAATCAATTAAAATTTCAACAGATGCATTCTTGGAGTTTCCATAAACGAATTTCAAAATGTCAATTTAACTGCTCAGTAATTTAGTATTAAACAAAAATGTATGATTTTGATCTAAAATTCATTAAATGTTTAGGGAGTACTCAAACATGTTAGATTTTCTTTATCACTAATCAAATAAAAGGACAAAAATTAAGAAATAAAGAAAAATAATAGAATCTATAAAATCTATAAATAAAATCTAAAAAATAAAGAAAAAACTTTTCGTGAGTGCAAGACGCAGCGATATATCGTTCCCTGGCACTCAAAGGGTTAACGGTCTTGTGTGTGTGCTCTCTCTCTCTAGCGTGGTTGGCTCGTAAGTTATGCTAGACGAAACACGACATTCATCCTCCGAAGAAGATGTCTTGGCTACGCGCGTGCCGGAGACACATCATGAGCAACCAAACGATAAAGTGAAACGATAAAAGCTAAACCGTATCTTCTGGTGGACAATTGCACAGAAGAGCTCGCCTGCTTTCGCTCTATCTCCCTCGCTAATCGTTGATCCTGCTTCTTGGAGTCGCCAAAGCGTGACGTTACAGAGGAACATGATATTTCAATAAAATCTACGATGATACTATTGAAAGGAGAAAGTAAGGGAGTTGTATGGAAAAAGTATAACCTCTCCGAATTTATCGATCGTAATAAATGTTATCGAAGCTGACACTTTCAGTAATTTAAATTTTATACGAGCAATTGCCTACGAACTGTTCTTGGTATATTCGTGAAAATATTTTTCGAAAGAATTCGTTCGAGTTTAATTTTATTTATTCATTTATCTATTTATTTATTTGAGTTTATTTTAAGATGGTCATATTGACACTAAAACTACCAGATCGGTCAAAATGGCCAGTTCTTGATTCTGTCGTTTTGCAATTATTAAAAAGGCAACAGATGTGTCCTTAAGAAGTCATTAATTATAAATCATTAATTATGAAGTTTCTATAGACGAATTTCAAAAAGTTAATTTAATTTCTCTTTTACTGTTAACAGTAACTAAAGTACATCAAATACTGAATTTAGACACCTTAGGGACTAATAATAATCAACACATTTGAATTTGCAAACTAGCTTGCCATTTTAAATGTAAAATTCCGAATAACGTACTTTAGACTAGCCACAAATTCGTTGCTCTCTCTTCGATCCTAACGCGTGCTGCCGGCAAACAACGATTTGAAACAATTGAAGATGCATTGGATTGAGCGTAGGGAAGGTGTACGAAGTAATACGGACAGAAATGTGGCCAATATTCCTATTTTTATCCGTGTCGTTTTTTTTATTTTTCTGAGATAACCTAACGCAGATATTCACCGAGTGTTTGTACATATGAATTATTTCACGTCTATTGCCGATTACTGTTCGTTCTATTAATGTTCACTCAGTGTAACATCGAACGATTATATAATACAGTAAGTAAACGGACTGTTGCTTTAATGTAGTGTCCATCAGCGTCTCCTTCCCTGACTTAATTTTCTTCATTCGTTTCCACTTCGTTGCTACGAAACTTGACTCCACGCAATGACTTCTGGTAATTCAATCTGTTATGAATAATAAAATGGACCGTGCTGACATTTACATTACAATTTCCAGCTGTTTTTCAACAGTCCAGATCTAAAATTAGAACTTCAATTAATTGTTCTACACGTTGCGCATTGATAATATTTATTTAGTTAATTGTACAAAATTGACATAATCTACTTATACATTTTACACTGTATTTCGTATTGTATAATCTGTATGCTATATTTATGCAATGGGCATCTTGAAGAATGTTTCAGGTGACCTTATACTACTTTATCTTATCGCTAACCTGTTGATCTTTGTGCGTTTATGGCGAATCTCACTGAATAAAGTTTAACAACTTAAAAGTTTCAAAAGAAGCGAACGCACATTTAATATTTCCCTTTACTCAGCAAAAACGTTTACTGTGGAAGTAGTGGTCCATCTCGTTTCTGTTTTTAATAATCAGGCCTTGAAAACTTGTATTCGCCAATGTAAAAGTCCACGATGCACCACTGAAGGATTCGATGGAACATTTTTTAACGATATCTATCATTGTTGAATAAACATTCATTTATGAATGGCGTATAACAAATTCTAAGCCCGTAACTATAATACTAATTTATAATTCTAAATATTGAAATAGTGAATCGCTTGTAGTAATAAATAAATCTGTATATTAATCAAAAACACGTTCGCTCCTGATCTTTTTATTTTGATTTCCAAGAATGAAGTTTTCGTTCGAATAAATTTTGTTCTATTCAATTGTACTGGGTATTATTTGACTGTAGATATTATACTAAAATTATACTATTAATTAAAATACAATAAAACGTTGATTATCGGAAAAAATGGGAAGACATTCCCATAATAGGTTTTTTTAGATAATGGGATAAGAAAAACCAAATATGTAAACACACGATAAATATAAACATTGTTACATAATCTTGATACGTGTCTAATTATTCCGATAATTAATTCTTGAGATAAATGATATTCGAATAACCAACGTTCTTCTATAAGTGACTCAGGAAAAACTGTAAGTATAAAAGAGAAATAGCACTTTCTTTAGAAATTAGCAATTATCATATTATTAATTATTACTAATATATTATTAGTAATAAAGTAATTTTATTTTAATAATATTAACACATTTATTAATTAACATAAGTAAAGATATCCAAATATTTATCACGTCGTTTGAACCTATTTTTGTATAAGATAATTGAACATGAAAGAATACAATTTTTAAATATTTCCATCTTGCAGAAATCGTTAAATATATTCCATCTAATTCGTATGTATTTTAATATAGGTAATACTAGATAGCACACGGCACAAACCGATTTTTCACATAAACGAAACGTGAGAGTTGAAAGAAGTCGTAACAAGTTTAATAATTCTGACACAGAATGAAAGGACGATCACATTTCTTTTCCTGATGGTGGTGTCACATTATACGAGGATCGAGCAGCTTTCCCTTGACATTCTAATCCAGGGCTAAAATTGATGATGTGTTCTAATTCGAAAGTAGATCGCAAAACCGAACAATTACCTCCTAATAATCGATTGGCTGACTGGCTGGTTTCCTGCGCGTACTCCATAATATAAGAAATATCGTCCTCGAATTGCAAACACGACAATTCACGAGTGCGTAGTACTATATAGCGGAGAACGAGGTTACGCGATTTCGAACCCTTTATGAGCTGCTCCACTTTTCTTTACGCGAGACACCAACGCCCCGTTATCAACTGCCCAACGTAGACAGCAATATATTTACAGCCAATTTTCTTCTGTAATCAATTTCTTACAAACTGTAAGTATACGAGAAAACCGAGGAGTGCATCAAAAACATTCCTAATAAAATATTAATTTTCTATCTTTATTTCTTCTTATAAATTATTAGATAAATTATCGTAAATAATCCTTTTTTAAATACATTTCATACAAAATGTTGCATCTTCAGATTTTAAGGAATATAAGGAATTCTTCATCATCAATTTTATAATTTTCTACAATGAGACTTTAATAAATTCGATACGATTATTTGAATAGAACACAATTACTCAAATCTGTATAATTAATTATTTCATGCATTTTTTTGGACGAGCGATATGTTTTCATTTAATTTTTCAAGTACGTAATGTTTAACGACAATTTATACACGAAAACAGCCGAAAAACTGAGAAACTGAGAATATTAAATTCAGTTTCTGTTACATTCAAATTTCAAGGAAGGTTAAATAAATGATAATAGAATATAAATTCCAATTATTAGTGAGTACAAAATAAAATATTTCCGCAATGACCGTGACCTATTTCCGGCCAACTCGAGGAATTTGATAAGCTTGGCGGTCGCGATTTTTTATTATGGAGGCGCAGGAAGTCTTCCGAAAAATCCTTCTAAATATAATTGAATAAAAAATATTTCGCTGCTGTAAAACCTCATAAAACTCATTACATTCTTTCAATGGTTAAATATCCAAAAGTAATAATAGTGGGGCCGCCAGCAAGCGTAATCGAAAGTCACCGAATATTACTGATAAGAACGAAAACTGAGGAATGCCAGCAAACAATTATAAAAATTCCGAAATTTCCCTATCAGTTCACCGCAAGTCGCCGTTCATGAAGGAGCTCTCTCCTCTCTTGTTTCCTAAACAATTACTGAAATTCTCACGCATTGCTCGACAATATTGGACATTATTGAACAAAGTTGTACACTGTTAATTAGTGCTGGAAGATGCTGACCAGTGGTCATCCATAACAAAAAATACGTCCTGTTTCTTCGGTGAGTCGCATGCTTGTTTCTTTACTCCGATTATCGATCATCGTAGGGTGAAAGATTCGCAATGATAACGGTGACTAGTGGTACCATTTCAGCAGTTTTTGATTTTGTGAGTACAGTGATATGTTTTGCGTACCCGAGGGTAGTAACATTTACTTTTTATCGGATGCGAAATTGTATAAAATATGCCGAGTAGTTATTTAGTTTAATGCACTGATTTCGCTTGTTTCTCCATGTATCCGTGTGTCACATCAATGAGTTCTGCTATTTGCGTACTACGATTGTATCAATTCGAAATATTATGACGGACGCATCGTGGGACGGTGGTGCTCGCGCCATCTTTTGCTGGGTTCCTACTTCTTTGTAATCCGTCTGCAGTTCCTCGGGCAAGTCCTGGTGGCAGGACGTTGATAGGTTCACGAGAGCCTAGCACTAGACGTGGCCATCCTCTGATTCGTAGATGAAGACATCATAACTTGGGACTATCGTTCTGATCTGTCTGTTCGCGGTTTGCTTCGCGTAATCCTGATTCTGCCTTTTCTCTTGATTCGCCCCCTTTACTTCTTGGCCCAATAATTGCTGCCATACTACGGCCCATGTATAGTTCTATAAGGGTAAATTAAATTAAATTTAAATTTGTATCCCCTCATTTTGCTCTTGTTTAATTAGAGACTTCTTCTCTGATTTGTTTCATGTTCGAATCAAGAACTTCATCCTTGATTTACTCCCTTTACTACTGTGACGAATGTATAATTTAAGTTATCCGTTAAGGTTAAATTAAGTTAAAATTAAGTCTACGAAAGAAGACGGCGATCGTTCACCATGGGATACTTCATTTCAGTCTCAAGAAAGAAAACAGCCGCAGTGGGGTTAATATTAAATATAATAACTCTAAGTGCGTTAAAAATAAGATTTAGAATTAGAACGGGGGTCGATGGAATTCAATTTCCGTCCACCTCCCCAGAGTCTTCTCGCAGCAACCTCCACATGGTGAGACCTGGGCAACTACCATTATCCTTATTACAATATTTTCCGTAAAAGGAACATGGTAGGCTAATTAGCTGCGATAATTTTGTAATTTAAATGTGAAATATGCAATCATCTGCAGGTAAAGTATTTAGACAATGTTTACGTTTTTCGTAGATGATGGAGAGAATTATTTGATTAAAAACTAATTGTTTGGTAAACGATAAGAACTTCGCCCACTCTATAATGCAATTAAATTAGGTACATTTTTAGTAAAAATTCAGTATTCATTAATGTAATAACATTGCACTTTCATATTGTGAATTATATTTAATATTCTGATAAATGTATATAAGAAATTACGAGTATATAGAAAAATGTAATATCAAGACAAAAAACATGAAAAATAACACAATTTTCATTTATTTATTTATTTATTTGTATTTACTTGTACTCTGTTGGTAAAGTCGTAAGTGACACGAGCATGGTAAAGGGGTCACCTAACCCCCGACTATGAGACAATAATTTACATTGCATGTTCAGTTTGTCGTATATCTCGTCGGTGATATATTTAAAATTTTTAAAAGTTGATTGTTTTAATTTTTTTAAATAAAAGAAGTATAAAAAATGAATTATTTATAAGATGACCTAATATATCTTCCAAAAAAATAAATTGTTATAAATATTTGTACACTTACCATTTATATTACAGTTATAAAATAATTGTAATTATTATAAATCAAATTAAGAAGTTATTACATATTTATTCTTATTAAATACAATATTCGTATACATTTCCTACATACTTAATTTTCCTTACTTATGATAAATGTTATATCCTTTACAAATATTTTTTTCTTTACTACATGGATTTTATTATATAATTTAGTATATGATTTACTATATGAAATTGTTCTTATTACTATATGAATAAGTATGAAGATTTTATGAAATTATACAAATACAATATTCTAAGAATTGTACATTTTTATTACTGTGTATTACATTTCGTAGAAATAATTCGAGAGGTGATCGTTGATAAGATATCGCTGATAATAGTCATATATGTATGTACATAAATTCTACACAATAATTCTAAGTATACTGACATATGATAGTTACAGCACATCAATCCAGAAGTAAATATAATTTTAGAAAAAAAAGAGAAAATAAATATAAAGAAAACACATTATATTCACAAACTTAGAATTAAATTTGTGTCATATTATTATTATTCTCTATAGGTATGAACAGGAGGCGCTTTCTAAAAATTGATCGGTAAAACAGATTGAATATTCGTAAATCATGAAGAGTGTATCATAAAAATATAAATAACGAATGAAAATTTGTATTATTAATTGCATTTTACTTATAATTTGTTTTTTTTACAGCGTTAATACTATAATAGTTAAAATTTGTGTTATTTAAGTGAAAACAAAATATCTACCATACCGACAAAATTCTTATTCTTAGATCACTGACGCGGCATGTCTTCGATTTTTTATTCCCACGTATCGAAGCAACACGTGTGTGAGTTCATCGAAACCTGTCACACATAATAAACACTGATCGCATCACGTATGTGATCAATTACGACCACGATATCCATGATAATGGAATTATTCATCAAACTCATATCAAACTTGCTCAGTATCATGTGAAGTACATTTCCCTAAAATTATTTATCGATAGCATTTTACATTTGTAACCTGAGTACTGTGACATGTGATACCTCACAGATTAAACAGTTGTATCCTTTTTTTATGCCATTCAATTATTCGTATAAGCTTTTTGCAATGTCATTTACTTATAACAACGTGTTTTATCATTTAATAATGATATATAAGTATTGTTTTAGTCATTAGACACGTATATAGGTCAAATCGTAAAATTCAAACATTTGTTTTTGCTTGATTACAGTAAATTGCAATTAATTGGATTTATAGTCAACCTTCTAAACCCCTCCCACGTGCGTCAGATTATGTTCTGAGTCAAGAAAGTCCATTACTTGTCTGTCATACTATTGCTTTGTTGAATTAAAGCAATTGTCTACATAGTTTTATACCCACAATACACATTTTTCTTTGAAAATTTCTTCCTATAGTACTTTGTACTATATACATTTGGTAAATATAATTATATTCATAAAATAGATGATATTATTAATAAAAATTCATTGAATAATTCGAACTGTTTAATATATCTGGAGGCAAATATTTTCTCTTAACATTCTTTTAAGATTTTATTCAGTCATATATGTTTAATATACAATTGGTAGCTTTGAAGTTCATTAGTAATAATGACTGACAATTTATCTAATAAAGAGACAGGTGAGAGTTACAAGTTGGAACATATGATTTCTAACGATTCTGAGTTTGACGATGCACTGTGTGTATCTGATTCTTTGGAAATCACACTCAATGACAATGATACCAATATTATTCAAAGTAATGAAGATACTGATAATAATGGTAAGATTAATTATTTCTTATTATTAATTGCATTTTTGGTTTTGTCATTCCTATTAACTTTAATAATCTCCCAAGTCTATCAATAATATGTGTCTATCTGTTATTATTAGAATGTCTTGGTGTGATACCTTTGTCTACTATATATCAATTATCTAAAAAAAGCCCGAACTGTAATATATTTATTCCTGGTGAAGACGTGCATGTGGAGATTATCGATAATGAACGCAGTGTAACAACGCATCCTTTGAACCCAAATTTGTATACCATACAGTTTAGGCATGGTCGTTTCGTTTGGATAATTAAAAAGAGGTACAAACATATTCAAAATTTACATAATCAATTGAAAATTTACCGTGCTAGTTTAAATATACCATTTCCAACTAAAACTCACAAAGAAAGAAGGAATAGTTTAAAAAGTTTAGTAGATCTAAAGGAAAGGAAAGGTCGTAAAGGTGCATTACCAAGGTATGTATTTCATATATGGTTACTTAAAAATACAACTTCTTAATACTAAACGTACTGGCACTTTATATGTAAACAAATTATATGATCAATTTTTCTTGGTGTTTGTTAAAATAAAGGAAAGACAAAAATTGAAAAATTGATTAATTGGATGATATAAGAATTGATATTAAGTTAAATGAATGAAAGAAAATGTAGAATTTTTAATTAAATTTTAAAACCAGTCATATGTCCGGTTGCGGTACGTTTAGTGTTAATAAATATTGTTTACTGTTGAATTCAAAATGTATTTTGTTTTTCTAGGTTTCCGAATAGACCCGAAGTTCTAGTACCTTATGAGCAATTAGAACATAGGAAAAGATTATTAGAAGAGTATTTGGCTAATTTATTGAAAATAAAGATTTATATGCACCATCCTGAGACTGTAAGCAAATATGTTATCAATAACGAATGAACATTGACTACAACATATGTAAAACTTCTATGAATTTTTTTCAGATAAATTTCTTAGAAATTTCACAGTTATCATTTATAGCAGATTTAGGTATGAAAGGCAAAGAAGGACTTATTTTAAAACGTACAGGATCAGGTGCAAAGACTGGATGTAATTTTTGTGGCTTATTAGAAGGCATGTGTTGTATTAAATGTAATAACTTCTGTAAATATTTATGCGGAAAATGGCATTCAAGGCATCTCGTCGTTAAGGATACTTTCGTTGCCTATATTAGGCCCAAGGATGGTAGCATAAAATCAGTAATTTTAATGGACAATGGTTTTGGAATCAGTTTTGGGATGTATACAACTGGTTCAAGAAGTGGTATGCAAATTGTAAATCTTAGTAGACATATAATAATTGACTGTTGGACCAGACGAAAGGCTAAAGAATGGATGGAATTTATCCAAGACGTTAGTAATAAAGAAGGTAAACTTTTTAATTAGCCTATAATACATAATATTTTATAATATATCATAACAAATAAAATTTCCATAGGTCGTTGTTTTATACAGTCAAATCCGCACAATTCATTTGCACCATATCGCTCTTCTACACCCGCCACTTGGTTTGTCGACGGATCAAGTTATATGTCTTCTATAGCAGACGCATTAGAGAATGCTAAAGAAGAAATTTTTATTGCAGACTGGTGGTTATCACCTGAAATTTTTTTGAAAAGGCCAGCAATTAACAGCGATTATTGGAGGCTAGACAAAATTTTACAAAGAAAAGCTGTAAGTATTATTAAACATTGTTTCCATTGCAATTAACTAAACGATTCTATCAAATCTTACTATAGTCTTTACTAAATCAATGCTGACGTGTAAAATTCAAGGATTTCCGGTAAAACTGTCAATAATTTTGGTTATAATGTAATTTGCGAATGTAGATTAGGGATTTATAAATATTCATGTAATGAATTCTTTTTAGCTCAAGGGGGTAAAAGTATTCGTAATGATTTATAAAGAAGTCGAAGTTGCTTTAGGAATAAACAGTTTTTATAGTAAACAACAACTTGTTGGAAAATGTCCGGAAAATATAAAAGTATTACGACATCCAGATCATGCAAGAGTAGGGGTGTTCCTTTGGGCGCATCACGAAAAAATTGTAGTTATTGACCAAAGTATTGCATTTCTTGGTGGCATTGATTTATGCTACGGCCGATGGGATAATAATAAACACAGACTAGTGGATTTAGGTAATTGGAATTCAGAAATAAAATACTGTAGGTCATTGCTAGATCAGTTACATTTTTTTGTTATCGTAGGTTCAACCCATCATTCTAGTATTTATATTCCATCTGGAGGAAAATGTATCAATACTAGTAGTAAGAAAGTATCAAACTCTAAACAATTTAAACATGTCTTGCTACCACTAGCTATTGCAACTAATACGGTTGTAATGGCTACTACGAAAACAATACCCGTAATGTAAATACTATATTAATATAAAATACAATGTAAAAGAAAAAGAGAAGTTCCCAAAATAAATAATTTTTCAAGGTCAGTAACCAGCTCCAGAGCAGTAATGCCATTGGCAATGCCACAATTTACTCCAGAAGATATAATGTTCATGCCACAACCGTCGGAGGTGGATACTGTGAAATGTGATACCCCAACAACAGAACGAAAAAATCTTTTTGGCATGGCTATAAATACCATGGATAAAGTAAAACAGAACATAAAATTAAAAAGACAGGAGTTAATTAATATGGTGTACAATCCGAATGAAGGAAGTAGCGATGAAGAAGATGTTGTAGATAGGTAAACTTATAATACATTAAAAAAATAATTTTTAACAAAATTAAAGTATTAAGGAATTGATATTTTTCAGTGGCACATTGCACACTCTAATTGAAACTAGCGGTTCAGTGATAGATAAATCAGAAGATGTATCTTCAGAATATTCGGGCACAGCTAAACTCTGGTTAGGAAAAGACTATACAAATTTTATCGTTAAAGATTTTAATGATCTTGAAAAACCTTATCAAGATTTAGTAGATAGAAGCACGACACCCAGAATGCCATGGCATGACATAGGAGTTATGGTACAAGGTGCATCGGCTAGAGATGTTGCTAGGCATTTTATTCAACGTTGGAATGCAATTAAGGTAAATATTTATGAAGTTACAATAATTATGTAGTTACGTAGGGTTATTAAATTCTGGATTTGTAGATGGAAAAAGCAAAATTAAATGCATCTTATCCATTTTTACTTCCTAAATCGTACAGTGATTGTAAAACTTACGTACCGTTCATTGAAGAAGCTAATGTGCATAATGTGCAATGTCAAGTGTTGAGATCAGTCAGCTCTTGGTCAGTTGGTTTCCTTGATTCTGAAACCTTAGAACAAAGTATACAAGAGGCTTACATAGATGCGATTAGTAAAGCTGAAAGGTAAAATTACTTCGTGCAATTACATTAATAATAAACCCTTTGCAATTATTTTTTGCAAATTAGCTATGATCTAATTACATATAAATTATAACTACTCGAGAACTTACGATTGAAAATTTATTGTAGATATATATACATAGAAAACCAGTTTTTTATTACACTGGCATCTATGGAACGAACGGCTGTAAAAAATCGTATAGGAGAAACATTGTTGAAACGAATTTTGAGAGCTCATCGAGAAGGCGCAATATTTAGAGTATTTGTAATCATGCCACTACTACCAGGTTTTGAAGGTGAAGTTGGAGGACCTAGTGGTACAGCTTTACGTGCTATTACTCATTGGAACTATGCTTCTATATCCAGGTAAAAATTGATTACAAACTAAGGTATTAAAAGATATTTTTATAAAACCTTTAATTTTTTGTTTTGCAGAGGGAAAGATGCCATCTTAAATCGACTAATTGATGCAGGAATAGAAGATCCTAGTGAATATATTACTTTCCATGGGTTAAGGACGCACGCAATGTTGAATGGTACATTAGTGACGGAACTAATTTATGTTCATAGCAAACTGTTAATTGTGGATGACAATACAGTGATTTGTGGTTCAGCCAACATTAACGATAGAAGCATGATAGCAACACGAGATAGCGAAATTGCAGTAATAATACGAGTAAATATTACACACAAATTCTTTGAAACAAAATTTAAGCTCAGAAATTTGATAATTTGTTTAATTGTAGGATCAAGAATTCGAGGATGGAAGAATGAACGATATACCATTTCTTTGTGGTAAATTTGCAGGATCATTACGGAAACAATTAATGTCTGAACATCTAGGATTATTTGAGACAAATGAAGAAATAGATTTAACTGACATAATTCAAAAGTCATTTTATAGAGATGTATGGTGTGCTAGAAGTAACCGAAATACGGAAATCTATGAGGAAGTATTTCATTGCATTCCTACAGATAAAGTTGTTAATTTTTCTATGTTGAAACAATATCAGAATGAGGAACCACTTTGCTCATCTAATCCACTTCTGGCGCAAGAAATGATTGAAAAAATAAAAGTATGATCTCATAAAGAAATATTTATCTATATAATTTTTTTTTT